TCATTTCAAGTAGTAGGAGTGCTCGAGGAGAAAGCAGAGAGGGAGGAAGATGAGTGGCTGGATCTGTTTTACATGGATGGCATCTTCCTCCAGAGGTGACACAATGGCGTTGGGGAGGGAGCCGTGCTTTCAGGAAGGCCCCCAGGCCTAGAGCCAAGTATGTGCTGGAATGGAGGCTTGGGTAGACACTCAAGTTTACATTTCCTTTGGAACCTACTGGAGAGGATTTTGAGCTAAGGAACAGCACTTTAGAAAGATCAGTCTCACTGCTGTGGGAAGCTTGATTGCTGAGGATGGAGGTTTATGGTCTTGGTGAGGGTTGTGGCTTGCCTTCAGAAGGATGTGCCAGAAAGGTCAGGTTATTGAGTATGTTAACAGAACTCACGAGACTTGACGATAGTTTAAATGTGAGGTGTGGAGGGCAGCAGAGGGTCTGCAATACATCGTAGGTTTTGGTTTTCAGGAGTCTTCCAGGTGGAAGATTTGTTGGTGGGGAGAGAGTGTGTGAGTGAGTGAGACTGGGTGAATAAAAGTTGCGAGTCAGGAGTTCTGTGTAGGACATACTAAGTTAGAGATGGTGTTATTCCAATTGAGAATATTAAGTAGGCAGTTAGACTTCAGGAAAGGTCAGAGCCTGGAGCTAAAAGTTTGAAAGTCATCTGTGGATGGCATTTGAAACTGAGACTAATTGAGACCAGCGTAGAATACTTAGAAAGATGGAAGCAGCAGCCGCAGAGGAGATGGAGGACTGACTGAGGAGGCTGGAGGAAAAGTCTGAGGCTCCATAGAACATGCCTGCAGCAGGAGGAATTGGGTCAAGGGCTGTGGGAAGTCAAGCGATATCGGACTCAGAATCTGTCCTGAGGTTTGGTGACTTGGAAGTCATGAGTACCCTTGGGAATAAGAAAGTGGGAAAGCCTGACGGGAGTAAGTTCAAGAGACAGTAGAAGGTGAAGAAATGGAGAGACCATGGGACTGCTAAAGGTGGAGTAGGAAGGTGGGTGAATGGCTGAAGACGGATTGGAAATCTAGAAGCTGTATTTGTAGGGTGAGGTAACTGCAGCTTTTGCTTGTGTTTGTGTACACACGGGTTGGTGTGCTATGATAATCCCACAGAAGGAGGACACTGACCCATCTGGTGCAAAAATGGAAGAATTCGCTTTTGCAAGTATGTGAGCATAGATGTCCGTGGGTTGATAGATCACTTGATGGGAGGATGAGCTAGCCTCTATTGTTTTTATTTTCTTGGGGAAATGAGGAAAAAATGCCAAGTTTGCCAACAGAGCGTAAGCTAAGAAGTAATTATCTCAGAGTAGAAAAGTCAACTCATCGGGGAAACATGGGAGATTACAAGATATTCTTGCAAGCCCACTAGAGACTTAAGCTCATAAATTTAAAACAAGACCTGTCTGCATCATTTTATGTTTTCAACAACCGTGTTGCCTTGCTCAGCTGTCGGGATAAAAGAAGCCAGGAGCTGGTTTAACTGGGGTTAGAGGTTGCCAGCTTGATGGAGGAAGGGCAGGATTGACCGTGATCATGGTGATGGTTCCTGAACCCTAAGTTTAAGGAGAGAAGGAAAGTCACAAGCGATGAATCTTAAGAGGACTCCAGCTCCTGATGAGGCTGGCAATTGATTGAAGTGCTGGTTCTGGAGAAAGTGAGCAGCAAAGGGAAAGGAGTGGCCAGCAGATGGATGGAGCTGGTTTGAACTGCTGACCTAGCAAGCCCAACATTAGCAGTCCAACGTGTCGTCTCCCCCTCCCCCACCCCACCCCCAAACAACAGCACCAGCAGGCCTCCTTTGTCATTGCCTTCCAAACCAAAGTAACAAACACCTCACTGCCATCAAGTTGATCCCAACCCAGTCTTCGCCTTACTGCTTTCCCGATCCTGAGCCCCAGGTGTATGCCCAAGAATTGTTCTAGGCCAACAACGGTGAACATAAAATACAAAAGTTCAGTGACTATAATTAGTGGGAGGAGGTAGACAATAAGCAAAATATAGTGTGTCAATTTGGGTGAAAAATAGAAAAGCCAGTGAAGAGTAGGGGCCAGAATGTGAGTTCTCTGTGGGTAGCACTTGAAGGCGGTGAAGCAGTGGACCATGTGGATATCCAAGGGAAGAGAATTCCAGACAACATGTGCAAAGACCTTGAGACTCCCGCATGCCTGGTGTGTTTAGGAGTCAGCAAAAAAGGCCACTGGAGCTAATGACAGCCAAGGAAAGGGGAATGGTGAGCGGTGTAGGGCTTTGAGGATCGTCAGTGGCTCTTACTTTGAGATGGAGTGCCGCTGGGGGATTTGAGCCAAGCAACAGCCTGAAAGGGGCCACCTTAACCACCATGTTGCAAACAGACGAGGAGAACAAAGATGGAAATGTGGGCTAGGTGGGTGGCTTATTGAAATAATCTAAGAGAGAGATACGGTGACTCGGATCAGGCTGACAACAATGAAGTTAGTCAGGCTCTGGATTTATGGTGGAGTAAGAGCTAACAGTCTCCTGACATGGAATGCGGGCTGAGAGAGGACTCGGAGAAGACTCCATGGTTTGTGGTCAAAGCAGGTAGCATAAAGTTGATCTCAGCTGAGGGGTGCGGTTTGGGTCATCCTGAGTTCTAAATGGGGCATACTAAGGTTGAAATAGCTAGGAGCCCTGGTGGGGTAATGGGTTTGGTGTTGAAATGCTAACAGCAGTTCCAACCCACCAGCTGCTCTGCTGGAGAAAGATGCGGCATTCTATTCTGGTAAAGATGGACAACCTCGAAACCGACAGGGCCAGTTCTACCCTTCCTCTCGGGTCAGTACAAGTCTGAATCTACTCCGTGGCAGAGGAGAGCTGTTCGGTAAGGTTTTCCTGACTGTAATCTGCGTGGACGTCTTTGGGTTCAGATGGCCAGCCTTTAGGTTAGTAGTCGATCACAACTGCATGAAGTGGCATACAAGCCATAACCTGGTGGGAGATCAGCCAGCCAGGGGAAGGGGTAGGGAGGGAAAGAAGACTAAATGCCAACCACGTCTACCTTTCAAGCCGTGGAAGGAGGACGTGGACTCAGCAGAAGGAGACATGGAGGAGTGAGTGAGTGAGTCATAGGGGGGAAAACCAGGAGGGGGTTCCTGAAGGCAATGAAGCAAGTATTTTAGGGAGGACAATATGCCAAGTCAATGCTGGGGATGGGCATTAAGATGAAAGACAACTGGCCATTAGTTTAGCAATGGAGGCTATTTGGTATGCTCAAAACCAAAAATAAACTGTGGCTTCAGTGGAACTGTAAACGTAAGAGTCTGGTGGGAGGAGGTTCATAAGAGAAGAACCGGAATTGATGACAACATTCTTGAGGAGAGCTATGGGGCTCTGCATTGGAGCAGAGAAACAGTAAAAACTCAGAGGATCAACAGGGTTTTAAGTGCAGTGAATTTCTACTAAAGGGTTTTCAGGATGGTGTGGGGAGGTATTACAGCATGTTTCCATGTTTCTGTGCTGAAGAATGTCCAAATGGAGTGTAAATTTGGATGATTTAGTTTGAGCAAGGAGACTTGGAGAATGTTCCGGAGCAGGGAGAGAGCCTGAAGGGGTTGGTCTGACATCGGGGCAGCATTGTTACTCAGCTCGGGAGGTGGTGGTACATGCAGCTACAACCGCTGTTGAAGTTCCCTTCTAATTGTGCCCCTTTCTCACTGAAGCAGCAGCCAGGCCCTCGGCAGAGAGTGAGCAGGAGGTGAGAAGTCTGAGAGTGAGACGGGGGCGGAGTAAGACCCGGGCAGAAGGAAAGGCCTGGGGCATGCAGTGAGGGTTGAGACCAGGGGCCATGACTTCAGATGAGGCCCAGCACCGTGCGTGTGCTCTCTCCAGCCATGGTCAGCTGTGTGCTCACGTTGTACAACAACCAGCTGCTATGGAGTTGATTCTGACTCATGTAAGCGCAGAACTATCCCTCATGGGTTTTCCTCCGGCTATTTTTGAAGTCGACTCAAACCTCCAACTTTGCGGTTCGCAGCCAGGCATGACTTTACAACCAGAGCCACTGATGCGCACTCAAACAAAAAACCAGCCACATCTAGTTGATTCTGATTCAAAGTGACCCTATTAGGCAGAGTAGAACTGCCCCCTTGGGTCTCAATGGCTGTAAATCTTTACAGAAATCTTTTAGAAAACTTAATCTTTCTAGAAAAAACTCATCTTCCTCCCGCACAGGGGCTGCTGGGCTCTAACTGCTGACCTTGCCGTTTGGCAGCTCAAGGAGTACCCACTGCACCCCGGGGCC